TCAAATCAATTGAAAATATTCTTAATCTTATCAATAAAAATCATTAATCATGCTGCTTTTTCCTTTTGTTAACTCATTTACTCCCTGAGTGATTGATATGTGACTTCTCCATACAATTTCAAATTGTTCACAGAAGCTCACAAGAAATAAAAATGTGACAGATGAGAATTTCCAACAGGAATATATACTTATATACCACCAAAATTAGTAAATAGAAAGTGTGGTGAGGAGGTAATTTAACAGTGCACATCATAAGTTGTTCATATATGGGTTAACTAGGGGTTTAGTTGTGATGAGACATAGACAGGAAAGAAAGTACAATATAATAATTTGCTTTGATAATAATTTGCTTCTGAGGTGTGTGTGTGTTAATCCATTCAAAACGTACATGTATGTATCCTGTCAAGAGAGGTTTTCTTGATTCTCTCGAGTAACAAGACTAAGGGCGGATCCAAATGATAAATTTGTGGTTGCAAATTATGAGTTATCAAATGGGTTGACACGCGGCCTAAAAACCGTTTGTAACTTAAGAATCCTTCACCAACAGCAACTCAGAAAGCAAGGTACTTGTTCACACTTACAATAAATTTAACTTACTATTCGAAATCGCCAAAGCGTTTGGATCGTTTTCAAACGCCAAGCGATGTTTTGAGTTCTACGATCTACTACAAATACACTTTTGGCAATACCATTGAAATTTGGACATTTCTATTGTAAGTTGCTCAACAGAAACCGAGGGATTTTCATGGCATGAATAAATGGAGCATTAAATCTCTTGTGTCGGAATAGTGTCTCACTTGACTTCAGTTTTTCGGTGGGAGAAGGACAAGATTTGCGCACACCGGTGTAGCAAACAAACGAACAGACTCTCACAACTTCAAAACATACATTTAAAAATGGTGACACTGACTTTCTTTGTCACTTAATTTAACAGAGGTAAATCTACGTGGATTAATCGCCGATGGAACTGAATAATACTCTCCTTAACATAACTGATTGTTTTTAAAGAAAACATCGTCATGATAGTGATGTTGCAAAGATTGCTTGGAAGCCCTTTAAATTACCTTTATCTTTACGCAAAT